GTGACCGTTAAGCTCTCTCCCATGTATCTTGGCTGTGGCATCTTCTTGAAAGAGGCTCTGACCAGATCCCAGTAGAGTGGAATCTGAGCTAATGTGTAAAACAACAATGGTAGGAAAATCAAACTGTACATTGGGATAAGCTTAGCTTTCATTTTGGGGTCAACTTCAAGTGAATGGGCCGCAACAAAAGACACTATCATTGAGACGATAGCGACATAAAATGACGTTAACGCAAAACATAGTTTCAGCGGCAAGTTCCTACGAAAATCATCTGGTTGCTTCCGCGAACTGTAAACCGCCAAGAAGGCTGCCAAGGAAGTGGTAGAGAAGCAAAAGGAGACGAAAATGGCGATCAGAAAAACATTTAGTGCACTTTGGCCTTCCAACGGCGGTCTTCCAGTAGTATCATTTGTGCCTCCTGGGACAGTGTACGATGTTGCGTGGGTAACTCCAGCAGTAAGTGCTGCAACTATGGAGTAAGAACTTGAAGTGTCTTTCATCCACTCGTTACTTTCCTTCAATAATTTCTTGTGCTCTGCCACGAAGATTTCCTCCGGAGTGTCACCGTCTTTGTTTTCCATGGCGTATAGATATGGTGGTACGTGTTCTTTCATATACTGCAATCCAATTCAGATATATTATAATGTCAGTGTTGGATCTATCTTATTTCCTTTGGACTAATGTTTTTGCAAAAGTGGTTTTTTTTTAATCCCAATTAACTTCTGCAAACTGAAATAGAGGAGGTAAAAGTCAATTGTTGCAGTGTAATTTATTTGGATAGGTTTTTATAAAGAAGCCAATTTGACAGAAACTTGTTTGAATGATATGTTGAAAGATCAGTTTTAAAATATTCAAATTTTAAGAAGAATCTAATATCAAAGGCCTTGAGGTAAAAAATTGATCTTGTCTAAACATTGATCAAACTAGTATTTTGGCAGTAAATGTACTTTTCAGCTTCAAAATCCAAATTAAACATGATTTTTCACTGTATAAAAACTATGCCAAACATGCTCCTAGATGCACTTAGTGCTTGCTTGGATTAGCTTAAAAAGACAATTCTGCACCATATTACATAAACATGTGAAGGAATTTTTGTATCATAAAGTGTCAAAAGTGATTATTTTAAGAAGTTCCAAACAGCTACAGTCACATAACTAAAGTTTAGGTGTTTTCTACCTGGAACCACTTGGCTTCATATTGCATTTGGAGTGCAGAGCCATGTACTTCCCAAGGCATGTGTTTTGGTAGAAATGCTGCCATGTGCAACACGTTATTTCCATCGGCATCCACATCTTCTATGAGGCTATCCCAAAGTGGGTGGTTCATTAATTCCCTCAACACGTGGGTCTGCCTTTTTTGTACTGCCGTATGTACTACGTTTCTCTTCTTTGGTTCTGTTTTGTCATATATCGCCACGGGAAGTTTGTCAAGGATTTTTTTCACCAGCTCCAGCAGACCGTACTTTGTTGCCACCAACAATGCTGTCGATTTATTGTCTTTTTTCGGGGATGACGGCGACTTTCCTGCCAATGATGTTTCATTAACAAACTCATCAGAAAATTCGAGTCCAAATCTGAACGAAAGGTTCTAATATCCTCTTTCACATATAGGTTGGTTTACCTTGCCCATTAGTAAGATCTGTAACATTGCTTGGACAGAATGCAATCTGATTTTCGTTGTACTTATACTCAGAATTTAGCTCTAAAAGTTTGTCCATGATTAGCCTACCCCATAGATGTTTCTCTTTTATCTTCTTTATTGACCCTTTAGTCAAACATATGAAAGCCAAAGAAAAAGAAAGTCGTCAACGACACAGCAAAGAAAGGCAAAAATAAAAAATAAAAAATTAAAGCATCAAGGTTATTGAGGAAGGCATATATATGAACCTAGCTTCGTCATCTTAAGGCACAGTTCTGGTGCGGCATCATGGATCTTCCTCAAAGAGTCAGATTTTCCTACCTCCAAATCTTCATTCTGAGTTTGATCATCAATTTTCAGATGCTCTATATCTAAGTCTTCAGTTGACAAACAATATACTGAGACAAGTCATAGCAATCACATAGCTAATTAAATTATCAACCACACTAGGATTTACAATAATACTTGACAAAATGTCATATACTTACGGCTGTACAACAGTCCTTGGAACCATGTTAGGTGTGCACCCCTGAAAGCTGATGGAACAGAAGCAAGGACTTGAAGAGGCGTAACTCCTTCTTTGTTCTCATAGCTAACGATGATCTTTTCATCATCATCACCATAGAGGCGAATTATATGATATGCCAGTCCTAACCACCCGAGCAAGTTTACAAGCACACTATATGTCAGAAGTTAATTCATAAACGTTTCAGACTTACTATATATATATATATATATATATCTATCATGAACTTAACATACCAAAGTATTCTCTTTGAATGGTACAATGAAGAATAGTGTCCCCATTGTCCCTTCTCCAGAGTTCTGAAAACTTGGTTGTGGGGATCTTTCTACAAACAGAATCAAGATACTGGAAAGTATCTCTGTGACCGTTCAGAGCGGCTAGGAAGAGAGGCGTCTCTCCCTCTTTGTTACTTTTAAGAACAACCCTTTCATCAAAGAGTAGTATTCGTTCACATCTAGAGGTTGAGCCTCGGGCGGCAGCACAGTGCAAAGGAGTATCCTGTTGCTCATTCTGAGCTGTGATAATCTCCATGGCAACTTCTGGGTTGTTCTTCCGAATATCATCAATGAGCTCCATAGCAATGGCCTCTGGTGCCTCAAGAGTGATAGCCAAGTGCAGTACATTGTCTTCTGATTTGGTGATCTTAGCGGCATGAACATCTGGATGCTGCCTCATTATCTCCACCACTTCATGCCAATTTCGTCCCAACACGTCTCTGTAAAGATTATGCTTTGCTTCCATATGAGAAGAAGCCATTGGTCCCCTCATACTGCTACTGATGTGGAGCTTGAAGTGATTGTTTTGGTGTGTAGCTAGAAGCAGAGAGAAATAAGTACGATTGCTAGTTTGGAATACAAATCTCCAATCATCTTTGTCTATTTTTACTAATTAAGCGAGGAAAGTTAACCAGTTGCTTTCTTATAATACAAGCCATACATTATTGTCTTTACTTCCTGATCGGGTAAGCACGGTTTTGAATGAGAGAAAGAAGTGAGGAATCCTCTTTTCGACTCTGACTCTCCCACTCCAGTCGTTGCTTTTCTTTCTGTTATTTCGAAAGTAGCTGCTTCAGCTTCAGCCACTCGAATTTTCGATATTCCTTTTTATTTCTCCTAGCTTTCTTATAGTACAAGCCGTATATAGAATGTTACTTTGGAGAAAGAAGAAAGCAGAGTTAACTGTTGTTTCTTGTGACATTTCGTTGAACAGAAACACGATGGGTAACAGACCAGAAGAATTGAGTGAGAATAGCAATTAACATAATGTAATATATTAATTAAACCTTTCAAAGTCTACGTTAATCGCAAAATAATGCTGATATATATATATATATATATAATTATACAGCAAAGTTTTGAAGCTCTACTTGATCTTAAATATAGGATCAACATGTATTAGTTAATTTTTTTTCCCATGGTTTCTCTTTGTTGTAATTTTTTTTTAACCCCTTTCTTGTAATCTAATCCTTGGTATTATTTATCATATCATTCCTCCATTAAAAAGGGAAAGTTAATTTTCTTTCTTTTGAAAAGAAAAGGAAAATTGAACAACACGTTTCTTTTCCTTCTTGTGCGAAACGTTTGCACTTTTTGAGGTAAAATCACTCACATTTATATATTTTAAACATATATTTTCCTAAAATTGGACCCCACAAAGAGAATACAACTGGAAATATCAACTCAAGAGAGATTTTTCTGAAATTTAATTAATCATGAAGTTTACATGAATATTTCGTTTTGAAATATAAAAGACGAAGAGATCAAGAAAATTAAAACGTTATACAATTTCGTTAAAGTGTGCATAAGCGTATGATTTGCGCCCATATATTCCAAGTTTCTCAGAACTGAGTTGATTGCAAATTTTCTGGAAAAAAAATTTAAATATGGTTTGCATTATATATGATATAACAAAAGTTTTTTCGTACAAAATGATAGTCTGACTTTATCTTTTACACTTTTCGTAAAAGATAAAGCATTGAGTTTGAATGTCCATAAAACGAGTAATGTTGAGCTCTATTCATAAACACCCCCTTCAGTATGATTATCTTCTTCTCTTTTTTCCTTTTTTTTTTTTTGGCCAACGAGTATGATTATCTAATAAACTAATGAACATTTTCATAAAAACTGTGACACCATTAATTATAATATATAGGGCTTTCTTAAAATAATACTCTTCCAATCTTTAATGTAAGACTTAATTAATAAATTTGGATAGATTAAGGATGTTAGTTACATTAGTTAATATGATATATATATTCTTAAAACATCTTAATCATTTTCCTTAATTCCCTCATTTTCTCTCTTACTTGATTATTGTTGAGGAAATATTAATGAGTTTAATTTAAGAAAAATTGATAAATACATAAAATAAGTTTTATAAGTAAGACTAACATCAACTTTCGAATTAGATTTTATAAACATCATATGAGTACAGTTTTTAACTAGTGGTGGTTACAAGTTACAACACTTTATTTTTGTTTCAGAATCACCCTTTTGTTTCTTTTTTTTTTTTTATTCTTTTCTTGGTGTAAGAGAAATGATAGAAGATTCTTCAACGTCTCTCTTCTTGTCCCATCTGGATGAATAAAAGTAAACTCTTACATACGTAACATAGAGGTGTGTCCATATGGGAGCTATATAAGCTTCAATTTTAGTGATTAATGTCATAAATTAATGCTTCATTTCCAAAAAGTAAATTTTGCAACAAATTAAAAATTAAAAACTTTCAAGATTTCACATACAGGAACTCACAATAGAGAAGATAGTTCATCAAACATAGCACAGAAAACAAATATTGCAGAGCCAGAAGAAGAACAAACATGCATGGCTGGATCTAGCTACATAGTAACATTGTCTCCTACGTATCTTGGCCGAGGCTCTCTGGAAAGAGTGGTTCTGAGAAGATTCCAGTACAGTGGAATCAACACCAAAGCATAAGGGCTAATCTTACGCTTGATTCTGTGATCAAGTTCAAAGAAATGCGCAGCGCAGAAAGATACCAACATTGAGACAACAGATAGATAGAACGTAGTTAAGCCAAAACAAAGCTTCAGAGGCAAACTTCGAGGATAATCAACGGGTTGCTTTCGAGAACTGAAGACAGCCACGAAGGCGGCCAGGGAAGTTATAGAGGAACAGAAGGAAACCAGAACGGAGAAAACGAAGATGTCAAATGTAAGATGGCCTCGTGAGTGAGGTCTTCCGTTGTCATCAGTGCCTCCTGGGACAGTGTACGATGTGGCGTAGGTGACACTGACAATAAGTGCTGCAACTACAGCGTAAGAACCAGAAGTGTCCTTAATCCATTCGTTGCTTTCCTTGAGAAGGTCCTTGTGCTGTTCTGCGAAGATCTCGTCTGGAGTGTCTCCATCATTGTTCTCCTGAGAACTCAGGTGAGCTGGCGTGTTTTCTTTCACATACTTTAACAAAACAAAATTTATAACATGAACTAGTGATCATCAAAATAAGAACAAAACATGTAAACCAAAATAATCTCCTAAACTAGCTCTTACATTAGGATCCAAGGGAGTACATATATAGGTTTTTGTACCTTAAACCAGAGGGCTTCATATTGCATTTGCATGAGAGAGCCATGAATTTGACGAGGCATGTGTTGGAGAAGAAAGGAGGCCATGTGCAGTACATTATTTCCATCGATATCCATAGCATCTCGGAGGGAATGTCAAAGAGGGTGATTCATCAATGACTTGAAAACATGGGTTTGTCTTTTTAGGACAGCCAAAAGGACGACTATGTTTCTTTTCTTTGGGTCAGTTTTGTTATAAATAGCCACTGGATAAACTTCAAGGATTCTCTTCACCACTTCTGTCAGACCATTCTTTGTTGCCACTAACAACGCTGTCGATTTTTTGTCCTTCTTTGACGCCGCTCTTGCCAATCAGATACAAATGGTTCATATATATTCCTAATCAATCAAATAACACTAGAATAAGTTGAAGAACTGCCTTTTAACATTGGTTTATATAATTATATTATACCTTGCTGGTTCTGTTTATCCCCAAGACTCTCATCTTGTCTGTAATCATACTCACAAGTTCGTTGCAGAAGTTCCTCCATTATCTGCCCACTCCATACATGTTTCTCTTTCATTCTCCTTATTGAACCTCTAATTTTCAGATATGAACCCAAAAAGAAATTAGAGTCGTTAATACATTATTAGTCAGCCAAGTGATTGTATTAACCACTCATTTGATTCCTTCAAAAAATAAAGCATCAACCTTGACTATGGTGGCCTATTGTTGGATCATCATCAGCTTTCAACCGGACAGAATTTCCAACCTCCAGAACGTGGGCCTCCACGTTAGCCTCAATTCTCAGCTTTTCTACACCAATGTCTTTACATAAAGAAAGCCTTCACTTCATTTCTTTTCATTAAAAACATAAGTGGAAATAAAAATAAATAACACAAATTCACAAGTTAGATAATTAATTTACGAATATTAAGAAACTTAGTTAAATTGATTATTTGTATCTCTAAAATATCTTTAATGGAATAATGAAAAAATTTTAACGCATGCAATTATTATTAGGAATATTTTAGAAATAAATAAATAAATACAAGAAATAATGTGAATTGAAATTTTATATTTAAGATCAAATTGAATTTTCAACTGGATTTTATATTTAGTACCCGAAGTGCATAACATAATATACGTATATTGCGATCGAGAGCAAATGATACTCACAACGGTACCGAAGTTTGTCCCACAAAGACATGGGCGTACTGCTTTCGAAAGCAGAAGGAACGGAGGCAAGGACATGAAGAGGCGTAACTCCATCATTATTCCCAACGCTGGCAATATTCTGGTCCTGATACAGATGAATGATCTCAAGTGCAAGATCTGTCCCAGATCATGCATGAATCATTAAAATATATACCTAGTTTTGTTCTCTTTAATTAAGCTGAAATAATGGGATTATTAGACTTAAAAACTCACATACCAAAGTATTCTCTTTGAATTGTGCAGGGAAGTATAGTGTCTCCATTAGCTCTTCTCCACCATGGACGCCGTAATAATTCTGTGCTGCTGTTCTGCATCTTCCTGCAAACTGAATGAAGATAGAGAAAGGTACGTTTACGGCCATTGAGAGCGGCCAAGAACAGAGGCGTGTCACCCAGCTTGTTACCTTTACAAGCCAAGGTTTCAAGGACCTGCAATATTCGCTTGCATATAGAGGGACAACCTCGTGTGGCAGCATAATGCAGAGGAGTATCTTGTTGGTCGTTCGTAGCTTCCAAGGTTTTGATGGCATCTTCGAGGTTGCTAACGTTGGTGTGTCCAATCTCATGAATCAGGTTTACAACCTTGACTTCTGGTGCTCCCAGGCTGATCGCCACGTGCAGTGCAGTGTCTTCAGATTTGGTGATCTTCATACTGCATTTGGAGTGCAGAGCCATATACTTCCCAAGGCATGTGTTTTGGTAGAAATGCTGCCATGTGCAACACATTATTTCCATCGGCATCCGCATCTTCTATGAGGCTATCCCAAGGTGGGTGTTTCATTAATACCCTCAACACATGGGTTTGCCTTTTTTGTACAGCCGTGTGTACTACGTTTCTCTTCTTTGGTTCTGTTTTGTCATATATCGCCACCGGAAGATGAATACAGGTTATGAATGGAGAGGGAGTAGACGCAAGGATTGCCAGAGGTGACTCGCCCCTCTCATTGGCAAGGACTGAGATGCCTCGGCAACATTGAATTATTATTAACGACAATTCTGCAAGTAGTGCACCAAAAGAATAAACATTAGCTAGCTACCCAGCTAGTAGCCCTTATTTGACAGATAGCTAGTTAATTCACTGGTGTACGTACCGAAGTATTCTCTCCTAATAGTGCAATGAGGCATAGAGTCCCCGTTGTTCCTTCTCCAATAGAGTGGGCTATCTTCACCTGCAGCAAGGTGGAGAACGAGGAAGGCCACTCGGTGATCATGAAAAGCAGCCAAGAAGAGAGGAGTCTCTTCGCTGTTATTACGCACCCCAATCTGCAGGGTTCAATATATTAATATTACAGCTGAGATTAATTCCCTTTAAGCAATGAAGTTGCGTAAAGAAAGATATCATTCTTATTATTACCAGTGATTTGTGGAACATTCCGATGATGGCAGCACAGATGCAGGCAGAGCCACGAGAGGCTGCGCAGTGAAGAGGAGTATCGCCTGTGTCAGACATTCAGTGACAGAATGTCTAGGGCTTCATCATCCCCCCGCTGCCGGGATTTGATTGCACCGATCAATCGTTCGACAGTAGCAGTGTCCTCTGTCTCAATGGCGGCGTACAATGCTGTGTCTCCCCACCTGTTGATCCTGCTCTTCCGAATCTCTGGATCATCGTAAATCTGCACAACACGCTTCCATTTGCGATTCTTCACTGCAAAACGCAGTTCCATTTCCTTACCCGTCAAATCGAACTCTCCCATTTCTGATGATTTTCCGACTAGCTTGCGTCGGGTGCAAGGGATCGATGGATGAATCGATCAGCGGGAATTAATTAATGATGACAGAGAGGGGATGGAGCTTTGAGATGATTTAAGTAGGCAAGCTGAAGCCTTATAATATTAGGGCCCCATAATGGGAGGAATATTACTTTCGTCTCATCATCCGTTGGAAAGAATATATATAATAACCTTCAAAATCTTAACGTGGGCCACTTTTTCATATATTCCAACTTGTCTGCAATTGTTTTTCAAATTAATTGTGCTTTACGATTAACATAAACAAGCTGCACATCGGTGTGGTTTTAACCAAAGGAAAGAGAGGGCTGTGCAATTCATCTTATCGTGCAAGTTTCAATTTGAGGGTAATTAAATAGCACTGCTTCTAGTTTTTACCGTAGATTAAAAGGTTAGATAAATTTATTAATTATAATAAATGTCATTTAATCTCTCTAAAATATTCTTGTGTGATATTAGATTATATATTAATTTATAATATATGTAAATTAGTTAAAAAATGATAAATATGATAAACAAATTAAATGGATCGAGGTGTTATATATTTATGATAAAATCCGAATAGTAACTATTTCCTATATTAAAAATTAGAGGGAGTATCTGTATATGTATACTTTATTTTTGTTTTCATTTTAAGGGATATTTCAAGTATAAGTTTTTTAAAGTAAAAAGAATGCTTATGCTTCCTGCCTTCAGTTCAAGGAAAAATAAAAGAGACCTGATTCCTTTCAGAAAGGAAAGAGAAAGAGAAAACTAAATGAAACGTTTGTTTGTTCGCTTTTCGTGTTACATATATGTTTTGGATGATTTTGATTTTCTTTTTGTTTCTTTTTCAAAATGTTTCTTGTTTTGGGACCCTTTTTTTGCTATCAATAATACACTACGGATTAAACAAACTTCAATGCCCTCACGAGGGCTTGTTTTGGGACCCTTTGATCATCATCTTCAGCTTAATTCTAACCTCTTGTTCCAAGAAAGTAGTCATGATGTGAACCTCACCATTCATATATAGCAACAGAAAACCAATTAAGTCCAACCTTTTAAGGAGTCAATATATGATAAATATTCATTCCGCCATGTCATATACCTTCTTAGGTCCACCTTCATAACACATAGGAGAGATGGAATTTTCCTTTTGTATAATTTCACATCATCCTGACTAATTATTATGTTATGGGGCAATATAAGTGACCTACCTGTGACAAAAGCTCTTTAATAATTTTCATGAACAAAACCAGGGTGAACTTTATTAAGCCTGCTGCACGGTACGTAATTCAGAGATACATTTATTACATATTTTAATATTATAAATGTTGATAAAATAATGAGGAGCAAATTCTAAATTGATCGATTTTATACTGAATAAGTGAGAACATTTAAAAAAGACAATGACCCTCTTGTCCTTAATATTAATCCTAGTTAACTAATTCATGAAAGTTAAAAAAATTAGTTAAGTCGTGTAAAAGATGCAAAGTAAATGGTGTGTGGTGGCTCTAAAATCAAAGTCCAAAATTAATCAATGAGGACCAGAACCAGGACGTGAACCACATGCATGCTTTGATGTGGTGTAATGAGGAAACGGTGAATATACGAGCTCGTTATATTTGGACTGTTCAAACATGATTTGGATGGTTTATATTTGATTTTGTTTTCATCTAAAATAAAAATAATTTTTTAATTATTATTTTTTTAAGAAAATAATTTTTTATTTTAAAATAATTAATTAAATTTTTTTAATCTAGACAGTTGAGACATAATAAGTTTGGGATTTATCACCTGAGTTGGTGAAATTGGATACATTTGTAGAGCCCACAAAAAACCATTAGCAAAGTTGTATTTTCCCATTGCAAGTGAATGGCAGACATAGGTATAAGGCTATGACGAGAAAGCTTGGCGACCAAGTGCAAGGCAGTATTGCCATGGACGTCGGATGCAAGGTGGAGATTCCGATTCCAGATGGGTGGCTTCTTCATGAATTGCATCAATAGGGTGGACTGTCTCTCTTCCACCGCCACCAACATCGCATTCTTCTTCTCATCACTTTCATCCTCAATTGCAAATGGCTTTTTTTCCAAGATTGCCCACACCATTTCGATCGCACCATACTTTGTTGCTCTCAACAATGCTGTCCATCCTAATAATGACGATGCACCATGCGCATGCATACTTATCATCAGTTACCCACATGTAAACAAAAATGATAAAATTAGTTAAAGAAAGTAATTTTTTTAAAATTTATTTTTAAGATCCGAGTGCCTTTATTATATGAAGGACGCAGCATTGGTAAGTTCGCCGGATGATCGTCGTCCATCCCCAACACCTTCATCTCCATCAAATTATCATAAAAAGCGTCATTGTCTACCAGCTGTTTCATGATCAGCGAACCAAATACATGTCTCTGCCAACCATGGACAGACATATTAAGCTTTTGAACCACTTTTTAATCGTGATTTATAAAATACGAAATGAATATGTATAAAGAGTTTTGTTTCGATTTACATAAAAAGCAATTAAAAGTGCTTATGATAATGATTCCAAACAAGCCCTCCTCCTTACCATATGTAAATCCTTTTTAACTAATTTTCACGTATAGTTAAATTATAACTAAATGTCTCAAATTAATAATTTTTTCAAGTTTATTCTTATTAAAATTCTCTCCCTGTATGTATAAATAATTTTTAACTCTGAATCTTCTTTCTTTCTTTTCTTTCCAATGATAATTAAATAAGAGTAAGATTGAAAAAATAATTATTAATGAGTAATAACCGTCTAAATGAACTTATGTTTCGAAATAAAAATATTTCTTCTATAAGCAACTTATAATAAGGAGTCGAATATTGGTAAATGAAAAGATCCAATTAAGCATTAAAATTAATAATTAATTACCTATGTCACTCCATAAAAGGGAGAATCGGGAGAATCCGAAAAGAGCTTCATGGGTGGTAAGCTGATCAGGCTGACTAGCATAATCCCAATCTGAACGCGCCCAAAACGTTGGGGAGAGACGGATCGGGATGACTTCGGAAATAGGAGAATGATCATTACGTCAGCAACGTCATTTTAATTAAGAAAAATTAATCTTCTTGGCTGCTTTATCAGTCATGACCAGTGATTTAATTATGATTGAGTACGACTGAATTTCTAAATATTTAACTGACTTACAAATGTTAACATTGACTTCTTTTATAATTTTTTCCACTCAAAAAATTAAAAACTCCTTTTAGAAATTTTATCCTTGTCATCCCTTGCTGTATGCAATTGGCAATATATATATATATATATATATATATAAATATGGATGAGCAGCCACATCAGATATGACTTCACATGAGGAGAGAAAGTGGGATCGAAAATTATGACCCAAGGAATCCTAACCTCAATTCACTTTTTTTTTTAATTTGTAATTCATTTTTTAAAATATTCATATTAATTACACATATCAAAAGATTTTTATTCAAAGATAGTCATGATTATATTAAAAAGAATACTTTAAGAAAATAAACTCATATTTGTTACAAATAATGAACTTAAATAATTTTTTTTTCATCCAATCAAATTAGTTAAGTAACTTTTATATTAAAGGTAAAAAAAAAAACTAATTAAAATTCTAGATGGATTGATGGAGGTGGGCGCACTTACAGTGGTAGAGAAGACTCTCCCACAAACTAAGGTGAGTGCCACTCCTAAATGCCGAAGGAATAGAGGCCAGGGTGTCCAGAGGTGCCTGCCCTTTTTCATCGATGATGGAAACCATGTCGGGGAGGAGACGCATTAATAGTAATGATAATTCTGCATTAATGATCAATTCAATTCAATTGCTGTCTCTTGGTTCTTAATGTAAAATCTAGTTTGATTTTTATTTTGATTCTAAATATAAGATCTCAATCAATTTTGTTTATCATATTTATGCATTTTTTTAGTAGTTCTTCTCATAATGATAGTTCTAGTTAATACACTTGATTAGTAAGGATATTTTAGAGAAAGCAACACCTACTCACTATAAATAACTAACTTAACTTATTTTCTTAATATACTTAAACTAGTCAATTATGTCTTCTATTTAGAATCGGAGGTACTATTACTATATTACTGTATAAAAAGCTAGATAATTAACTAATTTTTGAATATTAAGAAAATTAGTTAAATTAATCGTTTAAAATAAACATATGTTATTTTTCTTGACACAACCTTGTTAATCACGGGTACTTGAATTACCATAGTAACTCCTCAACATGTGCAATCACCGTAAAAATCACTCAAAGGCAAAATAGGTAAATATTAAAATAAAGTTAATTGGAGTCTTATATTTATGACTCAATTAAATTTTTAAGTAATTCTTATGTTAAAAATTGGAAGTAGTATATACTTTAATACTATTTATCAAGCAAAGGATTCCATTAGTTAACTAAACCATCATAGAATGTAAGTTTGAATAACGTATTATTCCATTCCATTCGATCCTAAACAAACAATACCTCTAGTCCAAAATATATTAGTCCTTTTTAACCATATCATCATCATTAGAACTATGGAAGAAAAAATAACTTGTAATTAAACCCGTCTGCAATTGAAATTCCCCCTCCCCCGCCGCCCGCCCACCCATATTAAGGATTTGAAAGAAAGAGAGAAAAGTATGAGGAGTCATATTTAAGCATTAATTAAAGGGATAAAATTAGCAAATAAGTATTCATTATTCTCAAAATAATTTATACTATGGACTAAAACAAATTTTCTAAAAAGTAACTTGCACTTTAAAGTGAAGGGAGTAGAAGACCTAATTAAGTAACTTATTTTTAAAATAAGTAAAATCACAAAATGAAGTACTTTCGCTGAAAGGTTAAATGAAGTGCAGATTACTCGTTGGGCTTCACGTAAGGAGCTGTGGCATGCTCAGGTTCTGCATGGCCATGGAGAAGGAGGAAGGCCGCTAGGTGACCATGAACAGCAGCCAAGAACAAAGGCGTCTCTCCCTCGTTGTTACGCACCAGAAGCTTAAGAATCAACATTCAATATGATCATCATCATCACTAAGTTTTAAATTTTATATAAAACAAGTGACGTCTCAATATATATTATGAAATAAAGCGAGTTTAAAATTTTTGGGCTAATGTAATTTTGGGTAATTCAAATTTGTTCTCATTTTAATTTTAGTCTCTCAAATTTCAAACTATAGGTTTTAGTCATTCAATGGGCAAGATGGTTTAAGTTTTTATTGAATTATAAGAATCAACATTTTAAATGAAAAGAAACTTGAGAGATCTAAAGCAAAATAAAAACAAACTTGAAGGACCAAAAATTGTATGAAACTAAATTTTTTTAGTGATTTCCTAAAAATATCTAAAACTGCAACATTAGATATCAAAATGTCACCTACTTTTTGTAAAATCTAATAATGAATAGGTAAAAAAAAAAAACATTTGAAAAGTTGAAGCACTGGAGATGGATGCCCCTTGCCCCTCTCTATGCCAGTTAGACTCCGCAATGTTAATAGTTAGAGTGAAATATTCTAACCACTATTTTGCTTTAATTACACATATTTTCTCTCAAATTTAAAATATATATATTAGTTGAGACCATTAATAGCGTCAAAAAATATTTTTAAAACAAAATTCATGAAGAATTAAAAAACAGAATGATTAAGATTCAATCTCATCATGCAGATGCGCCTGCATCATGTAATCAATAAAAGAGATTGAATTAATTACGGCGCGGGTTCTGTGTTGCGCGGCGGAAAGGGCATCAAGGATGCGGCGACACAAGAGGGAAGAGCCCCTATCGCCGGCGCAGTGAAGAGGAGTGTTGCCCCACTGATTCCTGGCTGACACAATCTGCAGGACGTCTTCTTCACCTCCGTGCATTGCTTCGAACAGCTCATGGACGGCGCGGGGTGGCGTCCCATAAATGATAGCTGCGTGCAGTACAGTGTCAGCCCACTTGTTCGTCTTGGCCAGCCACAGCTCTGCACATGGTGGGAGGCCCCTCACTGTGCGCAGCACAGCGCCCCAATCGCGCATCCTTAACCCAAGACGCAATTCCCTAATTGCCTCATTCTTCTTAACCTCCCCATCCAAATTCATCTCTCTCCGATGTGTATAGACAGACACGCGCACACACGTCAACAAGATCTCTACAGAAGAGATCTATATATAGGCTCCATCTAACACACACACCACTATTATATTGCTGTTTCTTGTGCATCACTCCGTTCCTATTTATAACTTATTTATACCAAAAATATATTAAATTGGTAATTTTTTTTTTAACAGTTGCCTTTGTTAAAGAAAGAGCACTAACAAATATGTTTTGCGGAGAATTGTAGTAAAGTCTCAAAAAAAATATAATTATTAAAAAAATCTATAACAACTGAGCAGCATTTAATAATTATTACACACCCCAATCTGCAGGGTTCAATATATTAATATTACAGTTGAGATTAATTCCCTTCAAGCAATGAAGTTGCACAAAGAACGACATCATTCTTCTTATTACCAGTGATTTGGGGAACAGTTTTGTAATGAGATCACAGATGAGGACAGAGCCACGAGAGGCTGCGCAGTGAAGAGGAGTATTGCCCGTGCCATTTTTCAGTGACAGAATGTCTGGGGCTTGTTCACCTTCCCGCCGGCGGGATTTGATTGCACGGATCAATCGTTTGACAGTAGTAGTGTCCTCTGTCTCAATGGCCGCATGCAATGCCGTATCTCCCCACCTGTTGATCTTGCTCTTTTGAACCTCTGGATCATTATAAATCTCCACAACATGATTCCATTTTCGATTCTTCACTGCAAAACGCAGTTCCATTTCCTTGCTCATCATCAAATCGAGCCCTTCCATTTCGGAAACAAAATGGAGCCGTGCCATTTCAAATCAAAACTGATTTTACTACTATCTTACGTGGGGTGCAAGGGATCGATGGATCGATCAGCAGGAATTAATGAATGATGACTGAGATCAAACGGAGCTTTGTGATGATTTAAGTAGGCAAGCTAAAGCCGTATAATATCATGGCCCCATGATGGGAGGAATATTACTTTCGTCTCATCCGTTGGAAAGAATATATCTATATAATAACCTTGAAAATCTTAATGTGGGCCACTTTTTCATATATTCCAACTTGTCTGCACAATTGTTTTGCTCATCAATTGTGTTTTAAGATTAACATAAACAAGCTGCACATCGGTGTGACTTTGACAAAAGAAAAAAGAGGGCTGTGCAGTTCATCACTTCATCTTATCATGCAAGTTTCAATTTGAAGGTAAATAACACTACTTCTGGCCTTTGCCGATATCTAAATTAGCTAAAAAAAATGATAAATATGGAAAACAAATTAAATGAATCGATGTGTTATATGTTTATGATCAAATTCAAATACTAACTAGTTCCTATATTAAAAATTAGAGGGAGCATTTACATATGTATACTTTTTTTTTTCGTTTTTAAGGGATATTTCAAGTGTAAGTTTTTTAAAGTAAAAATAATGCTGATGCTTCCTGCCTTCAGTTCGAGGAAAAAATAAAAGAGATATGCTTCTTTTCAAAAGCAAAAAAAAGGAAATTAAAGAGAAAATTAAATGACACGTTTGTTTGTTTGCTTTTCGTGTTTAAGGCATGTTTTGGAAGATTTAGATTTTCTTCTTCTCTTTCTGTTAAAAAAGAAAGATGTTTGTTTCTTTTTCAAAATGTTTCTTGTCTTGGGACCCTTTGAGCATCATCTTCATCTTAATTCTAACCTCTTGTTCCAAGAAAGTAGTCATGATGTGAACCTCATCCTTCATAGCAACAGAAAACCAATCAAGGCGTCAATGATAAATATTCATTCCACCATTAGGTCCGCCTTCATAACACATATAGCAGAGATGAAATTTTCCTTTTGCATAATTTCACAACATCCTGACTAGTTATGACGTTGTGGGCCAGTATATTGACCTACCCTTGACAAAAGCTCTTTAATAATTTTCATGAACAAAACCAGGGTAACTTTATTAAGCCTGCTGCATGGTACTTAATTTAGAGATACATTTATTACATATTTTAATATTATAAATGTTGATAAAATAATGAGGAGTAAATTCTAAATTGATCGATTTTATACTGAATAAGTGAGAACATTTAAAATAGATTATGACCTTGTCCTGAATATTAATCCTAATTAACTAATTTATGAAAGTTAAAAAAAAAATTAGTTAAGTTGATTTTTTTTTATTATCGTGTAAAAGATGCAAAGTAAATGGTGTGCGGCGGCTCTTAAATGAAAGTCCAAAATTAATCAACGAGGACAAGAACCCGGACGCGAACCCGCGCATGCTTTGATGTGGTGAAATTAGGAAATAGGCTCTGAGTGCTCATCAAAATAATAAGCATATAAACTCATTAGATCTAAATTGTTCAAACATGATTTGGATAGTCTATATTTAATTTCATTTTTGTCTAAAATAAAAATAATTTCTCAATTATTATTCTTTTCAAAAAATAATTTCTTATTTAAAAATAATTAATTAAAAGTTTTAAATCTGTCTGACATAACGAGTTTGGGATTTATCACCTAAGTTCGTGAAATTGGATACATTTGTAGAGCCCACAAAAAACCATTGGCGAAGTTGTATTTTCACCTAAAACAAAATAAAGTTATTTGTAAATAATCAAATGCTACTGTTTCACATAATAAAATTCTCTTTATTTTGCAAAGAAAACATAAAAACTATTTAAACTTCTCTTCCGATGCCTTTGCGTCTTCATTTTTCTTCTTGTTCTTCCCTTCGTCTCTCTCTTTCTTCTTCTTGTTCTTCTCCTCTTCATCTGGCGGTGTTTCTTCTAACTGTTCCACATGGAATGGCCTGGACAATGGCACACGAGAAAAACTGGCTCTGAGAAGACGGCAATAGAGTGGAATTTGAGTTGCCCCGTAAAAGCAGAGAGGGATCAAAGTGAGACCAACGTACAAGGGGACATACGCAGACGACTTGTTTCTGGGGCCAACAAGTTCAAAGGTATGCGCAGCACAGAAAGAAATCAACATGGACACAACTGAGAGAAACAGAGAAAATAAACCCAAGCAGAGTTTCAATGGCAGACGTCGCCGGTAATGCTTGGGCCGATCACTTTGAGAGCTGTAAATGGCGAGAAAGGCGGCGAGCGAAGTGACGGAGGAGCAAAAGGAAACCAGTGCCGTGATAGCAAACATGTGAAACCCAGAACGATTGCCTACAATCGGCCTGCCGTTGCCTCCGTCGTAGCCTCCCGGGACCTGGTAGCACGTTGCAAATGTAACACTGGAAATAAGCGTCGCCGCCACAATGTAATTTCCGGACATTTCCTTCACCCACTTGTTACTTTTTTGCACCAGATCATGGTGTTCCTCCGCGAAGACCATCCCCGGCGTTTTGCCTTCCTTATTTTGCCGTTCATTGAACTCCAGCGGCATCATATTCTTCACATACTGCATACATAAATACAAACGTACAGTTGAATAATTGTAGCTAGAAATTTAATTAAGCTAAGTGATCACGCACACGCACACACACACCTCAAACCAGTGTACTTCCCATTGCAAGTGAATGGCAGACATAGGTATATTCCTATGACGAGAAAGCTTTGCGACCAGGTGCAAGGCAGTATTGCCATGGATGTCGGTTGCATGGTGGAGATTCCGATTCCAGATGGATGGCTTCTTCCTCAATTGCATCAATAGGATGGACTGTCTCTCTTCCACCGCCACCAACATCACATTCTTCTTCTCATCAGTTTCATCCTCAAGTGCAAATGGCTTTCTTTCCAAGATTGCCCACACCATTTCGATTGCACCATATTTTGTTGCTCTCAACAATGGTGTCCATCCTAATAATGGTGACGCTGCATGCGCATACATACTTATATCTTACTTATTATCAATTACCCACACGTACACAAAAATAATAAAATTAATTAAAGAAAGTCATTTTTTTTAAAATTTATATGAAGGATCCAAGTACCTTTATATGAAGGATCTGGCATGAATAAGTTCGCCGGATGATCGTCCTCCGTCCCCAACAGCTCCGTCTCCATCAAACTATCATAAAAAGCGTCATTGTCTAGCAGTTGTTTCATGATCTGCATACCAATTACATGTCTCCTTTTCTTTTCTGCCAACCATAGACAGACATGTTAAGTTTTTAGGCAGTTTTTTATGGAATAAGCATGTATCAAGAGTTTTGCTTCGATAACTTAGGTGAAACCTGATTAAAAGTACTAATAATGGTCATGATTACAAACAAGCCCCATTACTTACCATATGTAAATCCGTTTTTAACTAATTTTCACGTATCAAGCAGTGATAGTTAAATTATGACTAAATGTGTCTAAAATTGATATGGTTAAATTCTTATTAAAATTCTCTCCCTGTATGTATAAATAATTTTTAACTCTGAATCTTCTTTCTTTCTTTTCTTTCCAATGATAATTAAATAAGAGTAAGATTGAAAAAATAATTATTAATGAGTAATAACCCTCTAAATGAACTTATTTTTCGAACTAAAAATATTTCTTCTATAAGCAACTTATAATAAGGAGTCGAATATTGGTAAATGAAAAGATCTAATTAAGCATTAAAATTAATAATTAATTACCTATGGTACCCCTTAAAAAGTAGAATCCGAAAAGAGCATCGCCGGGTAGCTGATCAGGCTGTTCGGGATCATCCAAATCTGAACGCTCCCTATGCCAAGGCAGGCGACTAATCGGGATGACTTCGGAAATAGGAGAATGATCATTACGTCAGCAACGTCATTTTAATTAAGAAAAATTAATCTTCTTGGCTGCTTTAACTTTTAACTTCTAAGGCAGTCATCACGAATACTTTAATTATCACTCAATACGATTCAATTCTTAAATGTATAACTGACTTAAAAATGTAATGTTACAGCCACATCAGATATGACTTCGCATGAGGAGATCGAGAAGGTGGGGATCCAAAATTATGACCCCCAGCAAGGAATCCTGACCCGAATTCACTTTTTCATCTCAAATTTATAATTTATTCTTTAAAGTATTTATATTAATTACACATGTTAAAGGATTCTCATTTGAAGATAGTTATAATTATATTAAAAAGAATACTTTAAGAAAATAAACTTATATTTGTTACAAATAACTAACTAAATCAAATTTTTTGTTTCACTCAAATTAGTTAAGTAATTCTTATATTAATGAATAGAAATAATAATTAATTATTTAATACGAGCAACGCTAAATAAAAAAAAATAATTAAAATTCTAGATGGATGATGGAGGTGGGCGCACTTACAGCGGTAGAAAAGACTCTCCCACCAGCGAAGGTGAGTGCCACTCCTAAATGCCGAATAGAGCTGGTAATACGGGCTGGGCCCGCGCCAGCCTGCCAAAAATGGCGGGCTCGGGTTGGCAAAATGCCAACCCGCCAAGGTGCGGGCTACTCCAGCCTGCATCGTTTTCAGCCCGCTCCGCCGCGGGCTAGCCCGCTTTTTTTTTTTTTTTTAATTTTTAGTTTTATATAATTTCTAATATATTATACAACATAATTGGAGGATTTTAACCCCCAAATTTCATATTTACATCTTCTCATCCATGTAATTGCATATGTAATACATACATAAAAGATCTACTTAATTAATTTGGATAAGAAAAATAGTCAAATTAATTATTTAGAAAAAATATGTGTTAGTTTTTTTAAAATATCTTCTCAAATTATAAATTAATCCTCACATTATTTTATTATAACTCATTACTCAAGTTTAAAACTCCAAGTCCAATTTTAACATTACAAACTAAGCTCAAACTTATACAAATAATATATTTTTTTTTAAAAAAAAAAAGTTAGGCGGGCTCGGGCTCGCAAAATGCCAGCCCGCCAAAGTGCGGGCTACTTCAGCCCGCACCGTTTTTGGCCCGCACCGCTGCGGGCTGGCCCGTATCCGCACCGCCATCCCGCATTCCCAGCTCTAATGCCGAAGGAATAGAGGCCAGGATGTCCAAAGGCGCCTGCCCTTTCTCATTGATGATGGAAGCCAGGTCGGGGAAGCGTCGCATTATTAGGTATGAAAATTCTGCATTAGTGATCAATTCAATTCAATTATATTACTATAAAAAGCTAGACAACTAACTAATTTCTAAATATTATGAAAATCAGTTAAGTTAATTAGTTGTAATAAATATATATTATTTTTTTTAAAATAACTCCTTAACATATGCAATCATCATTTTAAGGGCAAATATGAATAAATATTTGGAAAAAAATAGATTTGAGTTTTACATTTAGGACTCAATTATTTCTAGCTAACTCTTATATCAAGGATCAAAAGTAATATATACTCTAATACCTTTTATCAAGCAAAGGATTTCATTAATTAACTAAACCATCATAGAATATAATTTTGAATAAAGTATTATTCCATTCAGTCCTAAACATACAATATCTCTAGTGCGTAATATATAAGTCCTTTTTAACCATACCATCATTATTAGAACTACGAAAGAACAATTTACTTGCAAGTAAACCCGTCTTCGATTGAAATTTCCCCCCTCCGTTTTACCCATATCAAGGATTTGAAAGAAAGAGAGAAAAATATGAGGAGTCATATTTAAGCATTAATTAAAGGGATAAAATTAGCAAATAAATATTAATTATTCTCAAAATAATTTATATCATGGATTAAATTTTTTTCCTAAAAAGTCACTTACGTTTTAAAACGAAGGGAGTAGAAGACCTCATTAACTAACTTGTTTTTAAAGCAAGTAAAATCACTGACCGAAGTACTTTCGCTGAATGGTTAAGTGAAGTACAGAATCCCCATTGGGCTCCACGTAGGGAGTTGTGGTATGCTTAGGTTCTACAAAGTCACTGAGAAAGCAGAAGGCCCACGGGTGACCATGAACAGCAGCCAAGAACACAGGCGTCTCTCCCTCTTTGTTACGGTTCAGAACCTTAATAATCAACATTCAATATCATCATCATCATCAATAAATTTTAAATTTTATATAAAATAAGTGACATCCCAATATATATTATGAAATAATGCAACTTTAAATTTGTTGGGCTAATATAATATTTGGTAACTCAAATTTGTTCTCACTTTAATTTTGGTCTCTCAAGTTTTAAACTATAGGTTTTAGTCTTTTAACGAGCAAAATGGTATAAGTTTTTATTGAATTATAGGGACTAATATTTTAAATGAAAAGAAGTTTAAGAGACCAGAATCAAACTAAAAATAAACTTAAACGACCAAAAATTGTATGAACCTAAATTTTTTAATTATTTTTTTAAAAAATCTAAAACTGCATAGCTAATATATATTTATATATATATATATATATAGAAATTGTGAAGAATTCAAAACTGCAACATTAGATATCAGAATGTCACCTACTTTTTGTAAAATCTAATAATGAATAGGTAAAAAAAAAAACTTCAAAAGTTGAAGCACTAGAGATGGATGCCCCTTGTCCCTCTCTATGTTAGTTACACTCTGCAACTTTAATAATTAATTAGAGTGAAATATTCTAACCACTGTTTTATTTTGCTTTAATTACACATATTTTCTCCCAAATTTGAAAATATATATTTTAGTTCAGACTATCATTATCGTCAAAAAACATTTTAAAAAAAAAAGAATCATGAAGCATGTTTCTAAGTAAAAACAGAACAATTAAGATCCAGTCTCATCATGCAGATGCATGTGCATCATGTAATCAATGAAAGAGATTAAATTAATTACGGCGCGGGTTCTCTGTTCTGCGTTGCGAAGCGCACGAAGGATGCGGAAACAGCAGGTGTCAGAGCCCCTATAGGCGGCGCAGTGAAGAGGAGTGTTGCCCCACTGATTCCTGGCTGACAGAATCTTCAGGACGTCTTCTTCACCTCCGGGCATTGCTGCGAACAGCTTATGGACGATGTCGGGCGGTGTCCAATAAAGGATAGCTGCGTGCAGTACAGTGTCAGCCCACTTGTTCATCTTGGCCAGCCACAGCTCTGCAGGTGTTGGGAGGCCCCTCACTGTGCCGAGCACAGCATTCCAATCTCCCATGTTTACCCTAAGACGCATTTCCCTAATTGCCTCGTTCTTCTTAACCTCCTCAGCTAAATTCATCTCTCTCCGATGTGTATAGACACACACGCACGCACACTTCAACAAGATCTCTACAGAAGAGATCTATATGTAGGCTCCATCTAACACGCGCACCACTATTATATTGCTGTTTCTTATGTATCACTCCGTTCCTATTTATAATTTATTTATACCCAAAATATATTAAATTGGTAATATTTTTTAGCAGTTGCCTTTGTTAAAGAAAGAGCACTAAAAATATGTTTTAGGGAGAATTGTAATAAAGTCTCAAAAAAAATATAATTACTAAAAAATTTTATGACAATCGAGCAACCTGTAATAATAATAAGTTTTATAATAAAAAGCAGCAACTTCTAACTTGTTATTGAAATATTTTTGGTATTTATTTTCTTTTCTAAGGACCTTATTGTAATTATCCTTATGCTTTATATTTCTCTCATATATTTATCTTATCTCTCTCTACATTTAGGATGAAACTATAAAAAATTCATTAATTACCCTACAAGTTACTTATATTTACAAAATAACTTTTTTTTGTCTACAAGTAACTTATAAATAGTAACAGAGTAAGACGAATGTGTCAATACGTAGCTTTCTTGTTTCCTGTTGCTCCAAACAAGTCTGCTTCCTTTCTACACTTCTGGCCAAATTATTCTTTTCTTGGTGTAAGACAAAATAAAGCAAACAAGAACGGTAAAGGACCCCGCCATCTATCAGTCTTATGCTGGACTTTATTGATTGCCAATCTCATTACTCATTCCGTTTCTTTTTATGAGGAATAATTATCAAAATCATACTATTCAAAATATTAATTAACTTTAGTTAAAAGCAACAAATACCTAAGTAATTTTTTCCCTTACTTATGAAGAGAGTAAAAGAGAGATAACGAGTAAATATCTAGTATAAATAAGAATAATTTATTGCACATGAATAATAAGTAAACTGTGTATATATATAATTAATGAGGGTGAAATGAAAAGATTAGTTTAAAATTTTAGACAAAAAAATTTATTACCTTTAAACCGCGTGCATTTGTGAGCCGGTTACATCCCACTGAGTCCAAGAGGTTGGGTCCTATTATCCAAAAAGAAAAAAGGGGGTCTGGCAAATTAAAGAAACAAAAATTTAAATGTTGACCTTCCACATGAAATATTACTCATTTAGAAAATAGCCATATCATATTATTTATATATATCATAAATAATAATAGGACTCGACTCAGTTTGTAATTTTACGTAAGACACGTGTGCTCAACCACAAATTAACGAGAGAATTAAGATGACAAAATAATGGAAAAATAACAATAACAAAAATCTATTGAATTTCAAAGAGATAAATAAGTTACGCTGACTATTTTTGTAATAGTTTTGACTATTATTGTAATAGTTTTGACAAGTTAAAATATATTAAAATTACCTATTTATCATTGTCAAATTCAACTAGTATTTTTTTAATCATTTTTCCTGGAAATTTGTGATATGATTAAATAAAAATAAAGTGTGCGCATAATACATACCATATTATTATTATACTTTGACCAAATGATCAATTATATTAAAAAAAGGATAATTAAATAAAATTTGGTGATATTTCCTGATCTTCTATTCTAATGGCCAATGTACAATTGCATATGAAAATATGTATTGGAAATATATAATCCTTATATATTATTTATAAACTTTCGTGTATATATGAGGGAATTGAAAGCCAAAGGAAAGCAGAATTAGCTGATTTGTATTTGAATTTTAATTGTGCCGCTTTGATTAACAGAAATTCCAAACGAATCAGATGCTTCCTACTTTTCTTTTTGTCTGTTTCACTTGCTTGGAATGTAATCCATCCATGTTCTTCACTTTTATCGCATCATCCATTGAGGACAAGTCAACAAGTGGGCAAAAATAATTCCGCTAAAAAAAATACAGAAAAAGGGAAAGACAATTAGTTTCTTCATTTCGGATCATCATCCCTTCATTTCTCTTTTCGTGTTTCACGTTTCGGATTTGATTTTCTTGTTGTTTTTTTTTTTAAATTTCACAGACAGATTTATCTGTAAATTATATAAAACGTATTAAATAATTAACTTGAATGGAACATGGTCCTATTTAATTAAATTGGTAATTTTTTTCAAAAAAATTGCCCTTATTAAAGAAAGGGTATTAACAATATGTTTTAGGAAGAATTGCAATAAAGTCTCAAGGAAGAAATATAATTACTAAAAAATTCTGATAAAAACCGAGCAACTTATAATGATAAGTTTTATAGTAAGGAATGACAACTTTTAACTTGTTATTGAAACTTTTTGGTGTTTATTTTCTTTTCTTAAGATCTCATTATAATTATTCCTATGTTTTATATTTATCTCT